TAATTTTATTTCATATACTTTGTTTTGTAATAAGATCACAATATTAAATAAAAAAAAATATTTCAAAAGAAGTTTCAACTTTTGAATGAATGAGTGTAGATATTAATGGATCACCTTGAACTGTATTATGTATACAAATAACGGGAATGATGAATTGAAGATGCATGATTATCTCAGAGTTAATTTCATGTGATTGATATTGCACTATAGAAGTTTCAGAGTAATACTTAAATATTATTAATATTTTGTATTACTTATTAATATTACAAAGATGGATATATAAGTACACTTAATTGGTAGTTACCTATATTTTTATTCAAGTGGTCACTTGTTAACATCATAGTGTTTAAAAGCTTAATATAATACTAATTTATTAATATTTTTTACATTTTATACATTTATTTATTATTAGCAAACACTTAATATTTTATGATCAAATTGTTTTTTTTATCTTAAAGCTTATTATAATATTATCTTAACATTTCATTGGCATTATTTTAATTGTAGTATATTTATTTAGGGTGAAAGCAATATGTACTTTGGCTTTTTGCTGCCTACAATAAATGAATTGTCAAGTAAACTTGAAGCTATGAGCAGAAAACAAATTGTGTATTGTCAACCCTTGGTAACTGCTTTATATGATGGGGTGAGTAAAAGATTTGGAGCTCTAGAAGAAAACAATTTCCTTATCATTGCAGCTGTAAGCCATCCTTCTTTCAAGTGTGCATGGATTAAAAATGAAATTAGGAAAAATGTTGCCATCTCTTTATTAAAAGATGCAATGTATGAAATGTATTCTGACAAAGTGGTTCAAAATACTGAAGAATTAAACAAAAATAAATCTAGTAGTAGTGATGATAGCGATCAAGAGGAATATACTAATGATTCGTTTTTTTCTTGGGCCTCAACAAAAAAAAGTCGAAATGTATTAGTTGAAAATGAAATTGCTGACTTTCTCAACAAGAGTCCAACTAAAAAAATCAACATATTAAATTATACTCCAATTTTAAAAAAGGTTTTTGTAAAGTACAATACTCCCCTCCCCTCAAGTGCACCTATTGAAAGGGTGTTTAGTTTAGGGGCCTGTATTTTAACAAAAAAAAGAGGGAAGATGAGCGATTCTAATTTTGAAAAAACCATGTTATTGAAAAGTAATTCTAAAATTATCTAAATTCTAAATAATAACAGATTTTAATTTTTTTTTCAAATAAAATTTTTATTGAATATTGTGAAACAAATTTTAATAAATATATAAAGATTATTTCATTATTACAGTTAGTTTTTTTTTCTGAATAGAAATTTAATTTATATTCATATTTGTATAAATGTATAATATTTGATTTATACGAATGCTAAATTATATTAACCATAAATATATAATGATGCTAAATTATATATTATTATATTGATATGATAAATTATAAGTATATATTAGGTATAAATATATTATGATACTATATTATATATTGATAATACCTAATATGAGCAGTATGTACTACATTTATAGCCGGTAATTTGTAAGTTATTTCATGTTTATTAATAAACATATTTGGAAACAGCTACTATAAGGTGTAAAATTTAAAAAAAATACTTGTATTTGTATTCAAATACTTTGTGAGTATTCGTAAAATACATTTTTATGTAAGTATTTTAAAAGTATTTTTAATACTTTTTTATGCGAATACTAGTATTAGTATTTTAATACTTTTTCAAAAGTATTTTTTACAAGACTGAATATTAATAACAAATAGTTTATATTTCTATTTGATATAGAACCATGATATGTATATATATACATATAACTATCTACATCTATGAAATAGGCATGATTATGTCACTGGTTAAAGTAGTAAAATCATTCATTAAACACGCAGTAAAAAATATTAAAATTATTCGAATTTTAAAAATGAATAATTATTCAAATTATACGAGTTGAAATTTTAATTTAATCAAGATTTTAAACAATTTTGAAAGTAAATTCATATATTGTAGAAATTAATTTTTATATTTTATGTAAATTGTTCGCTGTCATGATAATAATGAAATTTTAAAAATGTATAATATTTATCATGATGTTAATTACATCCATCAGATTATATTTGTCCATTCACAAAAAAAAAAAAAAAATTAAAAAATATATTTAGAACCGTACATTATTCAAATTAAAAAAAAATGTACGTAATAATTCCACAGCTGCTCATCAACTATATATTATTTAGTTCGCGAGTAATTACAAATGACTTAATTAATTAATTATATTTTCCTCTCATTTAATATCGACTATAATATCGTTCAATAGAATGTAAATAATATTGTATATTATTTATACTAATGGCATATTAATAATCCATTTTCAAAACGCATGACCCACACGTGTACACTTAACAGTAGTGAAGTGCATAATATTTTGGCACGGCTGCAGTAGGCCGTCATCCGACGAGGTCTGTCAACAATTATTTTATTATCACTTGAACTTCGTGCTTTTAAAACGTAGGTTCCGGGCGGTTTAGAATAAATTAAACTTTATTAATTCCTTTTATTACGTTAGGTATAATAAATAAATATCTCGATGTCACAAAAGGTTTGATTTTAGATCGTGATTCATATTTTGTGTATACTATATATTATTGTCGTAATATCTAAATTGAAATATTATTAACAGCGTTATGATTTTATAGTACATAGATCCATTGGGGGACGACTGGACGAGGTGGCAGAGCGGTCTAAAGTGTAGGTTGCGGCGTAGCCGTCGCCGGTTTGATTCTTGGCCACTTTGCGGCATTTTTCTTCGGGCAAGTCACGGTGTCCGGAGAACAAGTGCCGCCATCTCCCACCCGGGGCATGGCAGAAACCTACGGGTGCCCCACTAGAAATTCTGCCACAACTCACACACGTGTACCAAACCTATCCAATACAACAACTCACCGTTCCACCCCCGCCCAATGGCCTATGTTGCCGAGGGTCATCTAATAAAAAAATAAATAAAAAAGTACATAGATCGAACTGTACTAAAACTCTATGATATTTCATTCGAGATATTGTATATACAAAGTGTACCTACATGCCAAAACTAAATCGAATGTTTAGAGGAATACGACATAAATCGAAATATCTACGAACACAACTCATAATATTCTATACACAAAAATATAAATTCGACATTGATTAATCATGCTCTTATGTACAATACAACTGCAAGGGCAATAAGTTACTTGTCCAAAATCCTCATACGCGAGGCGATCGTACGAAATAAATGATACAAACATTATATTTTTTTTTTAAATTATAATATAATATACAACAGCAAACAACTAAGGACGAAGTATCGTCGAATTCCGTTAAAAAACTAAACAATAAGTCATAACTAGGGACTTTATTTAACGAGTCTAAAAACGAATATTATACACATGTATGACAATCATTTTGTTTATTGAATATAGTTAATTAATTTATGACGTTTTCTGGGTGCAAACTAATAAATATTTTACTTTTTTTTTTTTTAGTCATATTTTTTAAATTTTATAGATTTTTAAATGAAATTAGATATTTTTTTTATCGTATTACGAACATTAAGACTTAGCATTTTATTCAACTAGCAATAGACATAATATTATGATATTTGATAAAGTTTGATTTGATGTAGGTATAAATAATATTATAATATAAATGTAGTGTGACAGACCGGAGTAGTGCCGGATAACTTCGCTCATAAAAAAAGAATGAAAATATAAGATCCATATAATACACGTATTATAATCGTCGTATAGAACGATATTGTTGCTATAGTGTATTCAAAGTTAATTGTATTGGAAATAATGGGTGTGTTTACTGATATATTATAACCGGGAGAACAGCGCTCCAGTACATAAATTTGCGTAGGTCTAATAGTCTGCACACGTAATATGTTATTGCTTATTGTTGTGCTTGGTATAATAATATATTACCGTACATATACTATAATACCGTACGGGTGTTATAGAGAAATAGGTGACTTAAATACTGTATACGTTATCGTAATAATATAATTATTATATGGATTATATATATCGTGTTATTTGTGAGTGTGATATTGTTTTTCACGCCACGTCGAGTTCGGTGTGAATTACGCCTAACCGGCTTGAGTTTGGCCAACGAGCACTGCACTAGTATTTAGCCACCGACAAGAGAGATAACACATATACCATTATGTAGGTAAACTGCGCTCCGTATATAGCATAGGTGTATATTACACATTAACCGTGTACCGAAGTCGTTTTAGAGTTTATCGTAGCAGTCTCGCTACTCTGGCACAGAATTTCTCACAAAGAGAGCCACCCCACCAACACTTTCCACCACTTCCACCACAACGCTATCATCACCGCTGAACACTGCAATAATATTTTGGCCCATGTCCTGAAAATTATATAATTTCTATAATTTTGACCCTGTGCGCTTCGATTAGTTTGACTATTATACGAACAACGAACATAACGATCATCGTTGTATATTACGGGGAGAGCAAAACTCGTGCCCGAAGTATTAAGAGAGAAATAGAGGGTGAGAGGGAGGGAAAGAGAGAGAGAGAGAGAGAGAGAGAGAGAGAGAGAGAGAGAGAGACAGAGAGATCATGATGGAACATTTCTGATAACAAAACCAGGCGAAAAAATAGAGTAGTTTCTCTTTTTACATTTTCTCTATTCATGATAATATTACATGTTTACTATACATATATTATTAAAAAAAAAGTGTTTAACTTAATTTTTTTATTTGGACATACACCTGCACGTCGTATATTGATACTTGCTTTTAAGCAATTAAAAACTCTTCAAAACAATCAATTTAAACGTACAACTTTCTAATAAATTTGCTTAAAATTATTTAAATAATTAATCATCAAACACTAATAACAATTAGGTATATACTATAGAAAACCATAAAATATTAAAACCCGTCTTACAGTATATGAGCTGCACGCCTGCACATATAAATTGTAGATTCGATTTATATTACTCATATATTCAGTCACAAGCGATTCAGATGATTATATTTTAATTGTGTACTAATAAAATTAAGCATTTAATTTGAAACAAGAACGGCTTATGTAATGATCATATCTACAGTTGCATTTTTTACATTACATCTATGGTCATTACACCTATGTTATTTTATCGACGGCTCCGCTACTGACGAGTAATTTTATTTATTTATTTATTGTTTTATAGAGAACACACTGATTAGTTAAATATTTGCTCTACGGTACGTCGTGGATTAACACACACGAAAAAACATATGTACCTATTGCACATCTATATAATATATCTACAAATATTATTGTAAATCAAGGACGTCTTGAGATTTAAATTTATTTGCTTTATATTTACGGCAGATTTGACTTTGTTTTTTTTATATTATATGTATAAAAAAATTACAATAAAAATAATAGTAAAAAGACGTGGCGCCACGTCGTTGTGCGACAAACTTTAATGTTCGACTGTAAATAAGAGTTGAGAAATAAATGAGATATTATGTTTAAATTTTATGTTCAATGAAGTACTTTTAATAAATAAATAATATTATTTTATAATAATATAATATTTTATGTGAAGTTTTAAGGTTTGGACGAATATATATATTAACTGCCAACGTATCGATACGGCATAATATATCATGCACTTACAAGTTATTATCAATGCCGTATCAATAATATTGTAATTAGTAATTCAACTATATTATTATTATAAAATTTGAGTTATAGAAAAATGAACAGAAAGCATTAGTTGACATAAATGAGAATTATTTCAGCGTTTCATATTTTATTTAAGTTATTAATTTTTTTAATCCTCTAAATGGATAATTTAATCAACAGATAATCAAACAACCGTGCGATATTTATTTGGTATATGTAGATTGTTTTAAAAAAGTCAGTGCATATTAATTATACGACAATACTTTTAAATGGATTCAGGGGAGTAACGCAAACTGAGTTAGTTTATAAACGGCCGTCTATGAGACTTTTTAAAGGGGTTTGTGTCTTTGTGGCAGGTTAACGACGACGAGAGTAGTAATAAACAATATCACGTTTATATCAATTTATTAAAGGCTGATTGTAGTTGTTAAAGTAGAAATAGGAGGGCAGTTGGTATATTGAATACAAATTACAGTCGCATTTTCCGATGTTTTGTTTTCCACGCC